CCTCCGGGGCAGGCGGGGATCGAACTCATGCGGAAGTGGCTTTAGCTTCTCAGTGCAGTGCTTTAACCCGCTGCACAACCAGGGAGAGCCATCCAGTGGATTTTTAAAAAAGATTTATTTATAAACGCACATAAGAACTGGGGGCAGGCTGGTGAAAGGATTCAGCAGAGACAGAACAGGGAGCAGAACAGTCACACTGACTGAAATACACTGCTGAAGGGAGCAAAAGGCGAGACAAGAGAGGTCTAGCATGACATGTGGGTCACCTCCCTGTCCGGGGATTGAATTTGTGCTGTAGTGGCTGAGGACAGATTCACAGTGCTGTGCTTTTAACCCATTGCACCACCAGGGAGGCTTTGCTTCAGTGGATTTTCCTGATAGTGGTTTCTTCAGGGCATCTAACCTTTCTGCGGGTGCTTATGTAGCTCTGGGGGTATGACTGCAATGTTATTTTCACAAAGAAAGGTGTTTACATCCCTGTCAGTGCCCCTGACTGTCCGAGCCACACTTAAGAATAGCCTGCTTTGTGCCTGGAGCTGTTTTCAACATTTTATACCACCCATGACACAGTATTTAGCCTTCCTGTGAGTAATGCAAGTACCTAATCTATTTTAGTTTGTTAAAAAAAAAAAAAGCCTTACGTTAAAAACTTACCACACTGATCTCGATGATAGGTATAATATTGAGTTTGAAATGATTCCTTAGATTGTGTTTCCCGAGGGGTAAAATAACTTACGAAGGAACTGAATTAGTAAGGAAATGAACACCTGGACACTAGTGTTATTTTCTTAAGTAAAGGTCAACCCTACCCGTCATCATCTTGATTGGCTTATTTTTCCTGGCAGGCGGTTCCATGCCACAACCAGAACACAGCTATTTGCAATTTATAAAGTGTTTCTGCACATACCAGTTCATATAATTCTCACAACAATGTAGCACTTTGAGCATTATACCCATTCTGAAGTGAAGCCAATCGGTTCAGGGGTTCAAGATTTTTTTTTTTAAAGATTTATTTATTTGTGCATGCAGAACTGGGGTACAGGCCAGAGGCTCAGGGGTGGTGAGAGGCTTTACCAGAGACAGAGTGGGGAGCAGAACAGGCAGATCGATGAAGTACACTGCTGAGGGGAGCAGTGGGCGGGTCAGGAGAGGTCTGCCACGCCATGTGGTCACCTCCGGGGCAGGTGGGAATCGAACTCATGCTGAAGTGGCTTTAGCTTCTCAGTGCTCTGCTTTAACCCGCTGCGCCACCAGGGAGAGCCCGGGTTCAAGATTTTTAAGTGAGTCAGGACTGAGGCCTTGGGACCTGGTGTTGTGTTTCTTGCTTTTCTATCCATAATTTGTGTCTTTTTTTTTTTTTTGATTACAAAATGAACACACATTCATTATTTGAAGACAGATGTGCTAAGAAGATAAAGTAAGTTCCCTGTATTCTCTTCTTAGTGATAACCACTTTTAATATTTTTTCTTATTTTCTATTGTTTGGGATTTTTGTCTTTAATTTTCCTTTATGAAAAGAGAATCTCCTAAGAGATCATAAAGAGGTGTTCCCCACCCAAGCTCCTCACTGCTGGTAAAAGCCAGCCACCATCCTGGCCCTCCTCCTTTTCTTGAAAATACTTCAAAGCTCCATGTGTTTATGTTGGGGGTGCCCAGTGGGAAAGGCTCCCTGAGCCAGACCCAAAAGTTTTGGGATATTTTAGATTCAGATGGGGGAAAAAATGTAATTTTCTAACTAGTATCTAACAGAGAAGGATAGAGGGAGAGCGATGATGTGAAGCATTGGGGAAAGAGGGGGGGAGGGGAGAGAGAAGAGGGGGAGCTAGGGGGCAGGAGAAGAGTGCCAGGCTGTGTGGCCCCCAAGGTAGCCCCTCCCCTAGTGTGCAGTATAGCCAGGAGTTGATTCCACTTTCTGCTTTCTTTGAACTTGCAAATCAGATCCTGTCACGTTGACCTGTGGGAGTCTTACCTATACGATTTTGGTTATGCTTAAAATGTTTATCGAACATGTTGCCTTTTGATGTAAACTGACTATTGGGGGGCTCAGCAATCTTTTTGTTTTACATACACAGGCATATATACTCTATATATTATATAGTTTTTTTATATCTAAAGTAATGTTATTGAGAAGTCAATCAATTATTCTAGTAATGTCTCCTTGAGAAAGATTCAACGTTAACATTCAATGTGTATGTCTATTACACCTTATATAATACAACCCATACTATATATTAAAAACTTGTAAAAATAATAAGTTACCAAGACAAAAGAGACTAAGTTATCTAGACATCCTGGCCTGCATCATTTGGGGGGAAACAATTACCTGTATAAAGAAATGTGTTGGAATGTCCTCCCACCACAACGTCCACGCCCCTCACTTTCTGAGCGATGAGTTTATCCATCTCAAAGCCAGAGTGTCCCAGTGCAATAATTTTGTTCACATTTAGAGTTTTTAGCTTATCGACTTCAGGTTGTAAAGCAGCAATTTCATCTTCAAATACTAAATCTCTTCCTGTAGAACAAAATAATGAACATTATTTGGCAGAAATTTTTATTACATTATTTGTTATACACACCATTATGCCAATAAAATACATCTTCATGTATGGAGGCTCTTCACTTACTAAGACTAATACCTATTTATAAATTACATATAAAATCCCTAGAAAGCCAACAAAAATTCCCGTCAATAGTCTCAGTTACATTCACTCAATGTTGCATTCGTTTAGGATTGTGAATAATACTATGTTGCTCAAATTCAATGTAAAACATGAGGAGGTTTCAGGCCTACAAATCTATTTTTAATGTGTTTTACAGTTAGGTTTCTGTTATGCCTATGCAGAAAATAAGCATGTACTTGTGATACCATATGTATGTCAAGTCATAATGTACAGCTTTAGCCTCCATAGTGTTATATGTCCAATATATTTGGTACATCTTACATGCGTATACCCTAACTCTTCAGCCACGAATTCAGCAGCCCCTGAAATCAAGTCCTCACCCAATTTTCCAGTTTGCCCTCTCCCAAACTTTGATTCAGAAAAGTAAACCTTCAGTTACCTTGTGACTGTGGTTCCTAGGCCGCTGTCCGTCTGAGTGTCTCTGACCCCCACCATTCATCCCAGCAAAATTCACCGAGAACTTCCCAACTGCCGCTTCCCTCTGATCCCACCCCTCATCTTTGTCTGTCCTACTGAAGGCCCCTACCCCCAGGGTTCCCAATAGGACCCTCCTGTCAACAGGGGCCAAGGAGGTCCTTGCCCAAGTCTGTCTGTCTGCCCCCACCCCAAGCTAACTACCACTCTTCCCACCCCACTTTCCTTCCTCCCTCCATCCCAGACTTTATGACTCCCTTGTGGTTTTTAATTGTATTCTATCTAAAGTGAACTACAAGAAAACAGTAGATGGAGTATAAATTATGAAGACAGTTTATTTTGGGGTTTGCTGCCTAATAAACACTCATTCCGCTTTTAAACAAGTTACATATTTATCCTGAAATTCCAAGCTTACCTCTGTGTTAGGTTCCAGATGTTCGTTGAGAGGAGACCCCAGGTTCTGCACTCTTTTTGCTCAAGCCGCTGCTGACAGGTAGGGACTAAAGTGTTTTTTTGCGGCAACTGGTACCCAGACCAGGAGCATCTGACCTGGTGGGTGCTGTGGCAAGGGGGTGCTCACCCCAACCCTCCTCACTGAGAGCGCTCGTTTACTAGAAGTGAGGTGTGGTGTGGAAACACACACCTGAAAAGGCATGTACCTTTCCCTCTGAATCACACACAGCGCTGTAATCAACGTCTCAGTAAAAAATAAAACAAAGACAAAAGGCATCAGGCAGCCTGGCTCCCCTGAAATCTCAGCCCTCTCCTCTTTGTGGAAGCCCCTGGGAGGCCCATAGAAGAACATCAGCTGAGGTCCAGGAAGGTTCTGACCTCTAAGCTGCAGGAAGAGGGCAAGAGGCCTGAGGTCTGGTCAAGCCTGCCAAAGTCTCACTGGTGGGACCCTTTTGTCAGAGCAGCGCCTCTAAGACACAAAACAGGTGACTCCCGACAGCCACAATGGCCCTACGGCTTCCCCATGACCTCAACAGTAACATCTATTGACCATGTGTCCAGTGTGCAAAGTCCTGGGCACTGTGGGACAGGTGGCCACCCCCTTGGAGGCTGGTCAGTCTCGGTCCCGACATCGGGGCGCAGGAGAGCCCTGCCGGTGCCCGGGCTGAGCGGCGGCAGGGCCCTCTCTCCTCAGAGCCTAGCAGCTGCTTGGGTGGATGGCACCTGGCCTGTTGCTGCTTTACTGGCCTGGGTCTGTTAAAAACAGCAATAAATATATCATGTATTTGTGTGCTCAGTTAAATATTATCTTCAATGTAAGTATTAAATGTATATGATACTAACTTATATATCATCTATTATTTTTCTAATTGTTAAATAGTAAAATGTCCTATGTTAATGAATTCTTTTACTTAAATTAAAGCATCACTTTTTAAAATTCTGGTCAGTGTTCTGATGGTATAGGACGTCCCCGTCGGGGGGGTCATCGTAGCCCACCTCCCACCAGGGAAGCAGCCACAGTCCTCACCAAGTCCACTGTGTTCTCCCTGTTCCCCTCTCAGTCTGGATACCTCAGATTTGTGATCAGCTTTCAAGGGTTGCTTTAAAGTTTGTCTTTGACCCTTTGTTTGTTTCTCTCTATTCCACATATAAATGATACCATCCTGTATTTATCTTTTTCTTTCTGGCTAATGTTAGCTCCTAGTTTCCCAATTTCCTTTAAATAAGGAAGGAAAGAAAATTTTGTTTTGATAATGACATAAGGAAAATGTCATTTTGTTTTCACTGCCAAGGTGTTTTGGTGAAAGTATTCCTACAAAAGTGGCTCAAAATGTTTCTTGAATGGTCTTAACAATAGAAAAATGGATGTATACATATGTATATGTATGTCTATAATATATGTATATTATAGCTACATCTATATAAATCTATGTGTATATATACACACATACGTGCATATTGTAGCAGCTCTATGTTAGAATATAGATCTTTACATGCATCTAAGACCATACACATACAGCCAGACATAATAAAGTCATTAAAACTATGAGGTAAATAATGAAAAGGGAGAAAGAAGAGTTAACTAGACATGTCATAGCCATACTAGAAAAAAGAAAGACAAGGTGTACTTGGGTAAAACCTGAGCTCTGGGTCCCTGGTTCCATGGGAAGAGGGACAGTGAATTACATGAGTCTCATTCTGGAGTGCTCTGTATTGTTTAGCACTGGTTACAAAGAGCCTTTCACACAATTCTGAACTCACTGATTTTAAACAATGATATTGTTTATGTCAGCAGAGAAGTTCATTGAGCAGAAGAGTGAATGTCTATAAGGCAAAATTGAGAACAACATGAAGTTATCAGGTGGATTTCATCAATGTCATCCTAAGGAGAAAACCATATATGCTTCCTATATTTATCTATACTGCCCATTATTATAATGCCAAACCCTGAGTTAGTGTATCTATTTCCAAGCAACAAATGTCAAAAGAGTAGAAAATACCTGGATTTGACAAAAAGGGGGTTTCTTTTGAGGTGTAGCCAACAATTCCCACGACTTCATCACCAACGGAAAGAATTTTGTGTGGATGATAGAGTCCTGATATTTTAGAGGCCAGTGGCCCCTTTGCTTTAATGTTTGCACTCAGAATGGGAAACTTGGCCTCTCTGAGGAGTGGATCAATCAGTCCGTCTACACCATTATCAAATTCATGATTTCCCAGTGCCTAGTAGAAAGTGGAGAGAGAAAAAGAATTAGAAACTCCGGAATTTCCAATAGAAGCATACTTGAAGAGTATTACACTGGGCCAGTGGAGCCCAGACGGGGCTGGGCGCTGGGAGGGTAACTCCATGACTTCTGTCCTCATGCCCAGAAATCTTACTCAGTGGCCTTGAGGCTTGGCTCGGGGACATTCAGCTCTCGGCTGCTCTCCAGCCCCACACCACCTCTGGAAGGAAGGTAGCCTCAAGGCTCACCAGGTCCCCTGGAGAGCTGGCTACAGGCCACTCACTGGCTTCCACCCCACACTGGGAGCAGGCTGGAGGGCCTACAAGGCCTTTCCACATAAACCCTCCTTTCAACCTGAGAACCCAATCATTCCAACCACCATCTTGGGAGAACTGTCTTCCTCCTCACAGCCACTTGGTTATGACTCACTATGTTCCTATAATTGTCTCCTCTCAAGAGCTCCATGAACCTCAGCGGAGAAAGAAGATTCACAGAGACAGCAGGAGACAGGCGCTGTCTTCTTTCACAGCGTGTCATCAGTTTCCTCTTTTGGGACCACCCTGTGCTTCATACCTAGCAGTGTCACAGGTGAGGAAATGATCACATGACCCTGGGGGTTCTGGACACCCAGAGAGCAAAGGTCTTGATGAGACCTGGCATGGATTTCGCCTCTACCTCCTTTTCTCTCTCCCACTCCTCACTGTTCTGTGAGTGACCACTAGGTGGATACAAAACAACCAACTCTGACTTCTGACAAAACATCACATACCACTTACCTCCCTGAGGCACCTTCTCCATGACCCTCCTCCACCCCTCATACTGTCTTACCTCACCTCCCATATTGTCTTATGGACACACCCTCTTCCCTGGAGCCCTTCCTTCACCCTAAGGACTTGTCGACTTGTGGGGCCCTGGCCAGGCCAGTGCACATGGGCCACCAAGTGCGGCCCCTGTGCCCTCCCCTCCCAGGTAGGCATGCCTGGTCATCTGGGCTCAAGGAGAGCGTGCATTGTGTTCCTCTGTGCATATGTTGAGGTGAAAAGAAAGCAACACGATAGCATCACATTCCCACATACCCCATCCATCTCTTGAGTAGCGACCCATTTTTACTTCTGTTTGCTATTTACTTCTAATTGCTTCCATCTTAAAGTCTGGCCTAGACTTAAATGTTCTCTCTGTTTTGGGTGACTGCCACCTTTTTTCTCTTCTATTCTTGGAACTTCATGTTTTCTTTCTATGGGGAAATAAGTCTCTCTTATCAGATTACAGTCACTATCTTACTTAATGGGCCTATAATTCATGGAAGATCACCCAGGGCCTTTTACTGTGGGCATTCAGCAAACATGGACTGCCATATTTTTCACTGATTTCTTTTGTGGTTAATGTCTCCTCCACCAACTTGAATGCAGTTCCTGAAAATGTCGACTATGGCCATCTTTTCACTGGTATGTCCCCCTGGGGAGAGGGTTCCTGTTCTGGATGCTTAAAGCTGCGGTGTGGTCTCACTGAATGGTCTCACACACATTTGCCCTTCAACTCCAAATGTAGTAACACCTGCTGCCTGACTTTTCTCCTGACCTCCAGATCTATATGTCTAGCTACTCTGTGAACATTTCTTCCTAACATCTCAGAAGCACCCCACACCCTGGTGTTCAAAGCCCTACCCCCCTGACACCCCCTCTCTTATTCAAGTTAAAACCATCTACCTGGACAATAAAAGCAATAACCCTGGAGCTGCTGGGTTCCCCTCTCACTCGCTCCCTCACCTTCTACCAGCACCCCTCCCTAGCATTTGTGCCCCACTAACTCCAGTCATTGTTACTATCTGTGTGCAGTCCTTGCCATCTACACCTGAACTATAAACCAGAAAGCAAAACTTCCTAACAGGGCTTTCAGCTATCCGTATCCCTATCTCTGATCCACCCGATATGTGTGCCACCCTATATAGTGAATAAGCTTTCTCACATGCATGTGTGATCTTGTCATTGCCACTGTAAGGTCCTCAGAGGCCATGCACTGCCTTTGTGGTTAAATTCAATATCCTGAGTCTGAGGCTCCACAAGGCTTAGAGATCTGGCCTTACTTCACACCTCACTCCCCAAGTTTGACTCTCTAAGCCTACAGGTGGGGCTGTCTCTGCTGCTTATGGGCTGTGAACAGAATGGCTTCTAACCATAGATACTCTGCAGGGACGGTGAGTAAACTCAAGATATAATGAGAATGAACCAGCATTTACCAAGCACTTACCACCTACCAGTATCACACATACTAGTTTTGTATAATAAAAACTTAGTTTTGTGCTGTGAAGTGGGTGTTTAACTGTTACCAACTTAGCCAAAAAAAAAAAAAGACCTAGAGAAGTTAAGGAAGTTGTTCAAAGTCACATAATGAATCGGTACATGGTAGAGGTGGGGCCAGAACAACTGCGGTTTGACTCTAATCTTTATGACCTCTATGCCTGGGTGTAAAGGTGCCGCCGGACATGAGCACTCAAATCAAATCCTAATTGCTTGCAGAGTTCCTGCCCTCACTATCTCTGTAGAGGGGAGGTAAATAATCATCAACCGATTGATACCCAGCTAGTTGGACAGAACAAGAGTCCTTTTTCATGCCATGCCTGTACTAATTTATTCCAGTATTGGTTTTAGTTCCTGAAGTTTGATGGCCCTTTCCAAAGAGAAACTACGGAAGTCTCCCTTGACCTCCCTGTATGAGCTAGCTGTGCTTCCTCTGCTCAGAGGGCCACATATGTACACTGGCACACTCAACCCCTCTCACACCTGCTCAGTCCCAGGGCAAGGCAGGGAAGCCCCATCATGAGTACCTGACCGAGCAGACAAAGCTCTAACATGTTTCCAGCATGCAAACACTGTATTATCTACAATTAATGCAGAAAATTCCCTTGAAAATACTTACTGTCAGTCCTCTCCTATCTTGCTCCCTGCTCCTTTGCAGGTATTTCAATATAGCCACCTTTTCAGTTCTCAAAAATAAATACTCATTTTCTTTAGAAATATGTACTTCTGGGCCCTCTCTGGTGGCTCAGTGGGTTGGAGCACTGCACTGTGAAGCTAAGCCAAGCTGTGGCAGCTTCAGTGTGAGTTCAATCCCCACCCCGGAGGTGACCCACATGGCTCGGCAGACCTCGCCTGTCTTGCCCTGTCTTGCCTCAGCAGTGTTCTTTGTTGATCTGCCTGTTCTGTTCCCCACTGTGTCTCTGGTGAATCCTCTCACCACCCCTGTACCTCTGGCCTGTACTCGAGTTCTAGATGCATGAATAAGTAAAATCTTAAAAAAAAAAGTACACTTCCATCTCTATTCCTTGACTTTCTCCCATCTGTTTTCCTTCAGTAGCACTTACTAGAACTTCATTACTCACAAGCGTTCAGAAGGACACACAGCTCAGAGCCACACCAGGCTCCTTTCATATGGCTGGCAGATGGGAGCATGTGAGAAATGGGTTACTGGGGTAAGTGTCCTCTGCAGGGGCTCAGCCTGAGAGAAGATTCAGTGGCCAGCAAATGAGGAATCAGGGGCCAGAGAGGAGCGGGGGAAGACAGGGTAACAAGCACCAAATCACTCCAGACAGTGCCCCACACCATCTTCTGAAACAGGAGGTGGGTTAAGGAGCAGGTCTCAGTTCCTCTTCAGGGCTAATGTGTTTTCAGTGACTGTGAACCACCTTATCTGGTTTCAAACTGAGCAGGTCTGAAATGGAGAGGATCGGAGTCATTTCACAATTTGGAAAAACGGCTAAATTTTCTGATAACCCCGTTGGAGTAAAAGTTCTGCTGCCAGCTCTCGAAGGACTCTGCATGAGAAGCCCCTCAGAGCTGACTCTCTGTGATCACGTGAGAACTTTATTGAGGGCATGTTTCTCAGCTGAGAACGAGGCTGGGTGTGGGTCATATATTCATGTCGATTATTTATCAATAGCATGAAAATACTTCAGGACAATCTGCCCAAGAGAAGGAGTTAGAGAGATAGAAGATGGAACAGAACAGAGCAGGTTATCTTTCCGTGTTCCTTTACATCTTATAGAGTTTGGGGCACAGACAAGAGATTTAAAGAATGAATACTGCAGTATCGTCCCACCTTGTTTTTGGATCCTCTCTGTGTTCATGTTTCCTATGTGTGCTTGTAAGTCCTTGGTTACTCCACACCCAGCTTCCCTTGTGTCTTTAACTGCCTGTCCTGATCTGAGCTAATCTGTCACTGACCACAAACTGCGCTGACCCCCATGTCAGAAAGTCAACTTTTGCTCTGGGGATAAGCCTTTCCTCACTTAGGAGAACTCTCAGGTAATCATGAGGGAATCATGTCTCTGGTCATTTATTTCCAGTGCTTAATTAAGCTAACTATTTAAACTACCAGTTAATTACTATCTCTTAGATGCCAAATTGAAAGGAAAGTACCTAGTATTCACCCAAGTTAGATGCAAACAAATGCATGATGTCAGAAGGGCTGGTTCCCCTACCCCTTTCTCTGTCAAGGGCAGATGCCAGTTCACGGATGTGGTTCCTCTTTCCCAGTGAGTTTGGACTGAGCCTCAAAATCTTCCTTATTCTGGCCCTGTAAGGACTTAGGAAAATCAACTCGAGATGCACTTAGATGAAGCAGTGCTTCAGGCCTGCACTAAGATTATAAGTGTATAATCTATTGACTTTTTTTTTTTTTAAATTTATTTATTTGTGCATACAGAACTGGGGTGCAGGCTAGAAGTTCAGGGGCGGTGAGAGGCTTCACCAGAGACAGAGTGGGGAACAGAACAGGCAGATGGACGAAGTACACTGCTGAGGGGAGCAGCGGGCGGGTCAGGAGAGGTCTGCCACGCCATGTGGTCACCTCCGGGGCAGGCGGGAATCGAACTCATGCGGAAGCGGCTTTTAGATTCTCAGTGCTGTGCTTTAACCCGCTGCGCCACCAGGGAGGGCCTGACTTTTAATTAACAACAGTAACAGTGGTTAGCAAATGTAATGGGAGCAACAAAAAAGGCAA